GCACACACACACACACACACACAACACACACACACACACACACAACACACACACACACACACACACACACACACACACAACACACACAACACACACACACACCACACACACACACCACACACACACACCACACACCACACACACACACACACACACACCACACACACACACACACACACACACACACACACACACACACACACATATATATAGTATGTATATATATATATATATATATATATATATATATATATATATATATATATATATATATATATATATAATATATATAATAAATAATATATATTATATATATTTTTTTTTTATATATATATGTATGATTATGTATGTATGTATATTGCATTATACATATATACACATCAATTAAAAAGTAATTGTTTGTACATAAACAGAACATTTGTACAAGGGCGTCCGCCCAGCCGTAGCGAGGCCCCGCCGGACCAGCCGCAGCCAGACCCGGAGAGCCATCGCCCGCGACGCACGCCAGCGCCCCCCTGTACACTATTTACAGCACGGGTCGTCCTCCACAGGGAGTCCTCGTCCTCGTCGTCGTCGTCGTCATCCCGAGGGGGCTCAGGAGGGCGTGACGTGGCCCGAGATCGCCGAGTCGGGGGAGGTGGAGCAGGAGGCGAGGGAGAGGACGGAGGAGGAGGAGGCGCCGACAGGAGGCGAGAGAGAAGGACGAGACGGGCGAGCTGGACATGGTCGAGCACGAGGAGGACGACGAGAACTGGAAGGAGGAAGCGGAGGCGGACTGGGACGAGAGAGAGGCTGAGATGGAGAGCGAGGTGGAGGACGAGTAGAAGGAGGATACGGGGGAGGAGGACGAGGAGGAGTATGGGAAGCAGGAAGAGGAGGAGGAGGATCGAGGGGAGGACGGGGTAGAGGCCGACAGACCTCGGCGGGGCACCTCCTCCTCCTCCCCCTCGAGGCAGCACTGGAGGACGTGCTCGGCCCCGGACGTCATCGGCGCATGCGCACTCCGCGGCCTCAGCCTCTGACCCTGAAACTTCCTCCTGAAGGGTGACCTCCTCACGGCCTCGGCAGGGGGGGAGGTCGGGGTTTCTCTCGCTCGTCTGACTCCGCTTTTCGCAGAGGAGGAGGAAGAGGTGGTGGAGAGAGAGGAGGTTGACGAGGAAAGGAGGAGGAAAAAAGGAGGACGACGACGATGAGGGGAAGAGGGAGGGTTGAGGGAGGTGACGCCGAGCTTGGGCTTCCTTAGCGCTGCCGAGGAGCTGGGGCTGGCGGACTCACTGGCCATCTGCGAGGTAGTCGTGACACCATTGTATTTAACTGATAGATTAAGTGATTAATTCTCAATATAAGTATATAGTACTATGTTGAGACGTGCACAAGCGAACTCACACCCACCTGATCCTCTGCTCTTCTCTGGTCGGGCGGCGCGGGCGGGGCGTGGTTGGGCCGATCCATGGGTCTGAAGGCGTGTCGTCTCCCTAACTTCCCCACCAAAGGAAGAGAAGGGCCTCCCCTTCTGCCCGTCCCTGGCTCGAGGGGCCGTTGTGAGGGTCTGAGATCTCTCTTTCTGTGCGTTTCTTGTATGATTTTTGAGGGCGTGGGGCACGAGGGAGACCTCTGGAGGCACCTTGCGGCAACCAGGTCGCCATGGGGCTTCGGCGTCGTCGCTCTGCGAGGCGAGTCGCTGTCGTCGTTCTCGAAGGCCGACGCCAGTCCCTCGTCCGGGTGCTCGCGTATCGGTTTCAGGGCGTAGGTGACCCTCCGCGTGGCTCCGACGTCGGCGCTGTTCAAGCACGATGTAAGAACTGGGGATTCCGATCGTTTTGCGGGGATCATCGGCGTCGATTCGTCAATGTCGATGAGAGGAGAGGAGCACTCGTCCGAGCTGACGCACTTCATTTCGTCCTCCACTTCTGTGATGGTCGGGAATTTCTGGCTTGATAGGGTATTCGAGGGGGAGTCTTTAGACAGGTAAGATATCAGCCTCGTGTCTCGCTCGAGGGCGACCTGAAGCATCTTACTGGTCTCTGGGACGAGAATCAGTCTGAATTCTACGTTCGACGGGGCCTTCGACCTCCTCCCGGGACTGCTTACGCCGGAGACGTCCACCTCGTCGGCGGTCCTCTCCTCGTGGCTCTCCTCACTGGGCAGTTTCGGAGACTCGACCCTGAGGGGCTTCCTGGGAGAGCCTCGATTTGGCGACCGGACGTCTGACTTGGTCCGCAGCAGCCTGGAGTTGGGCAGATGCCACGAAAAAGATTTGTTGCGGAAGTCCCAATCTGCGGCAGTCAGAGAAAACGCAGGGTACTGCTTGATTTCAGGGATAACTTTAACAATATCACTATCTTTCTCTTCTTCATTTTCGTCGTTTTCTTGATGTGATCTAATTGCAATCGGGTCGTCGTAGATGTGCGGGGTCTCGTGCCTGACGGCGGCGATGGCGACGATATCATAGCGTACAGGGGGCGGCTTCCACAGGTCGTTTCTTTGGTCGTCTTGGAGTCTTCCGCCTGTCAGGGGAAATGCAGGCGAGCAGAAGTAAGCGTGTTGAGACACAGGACCTGATTCCCTAAATGGTTTTATCATTGCAATTTTATTCTCATTATTAATATTGCGTTTACTATTTACACGTTTTCATTATCTTGTTATATTATTGGGATTATCATTTGATGAACATCAGTGATTTCATCAAATACTTTGCATTGTTATCACTATCTCTGTTTCATCATTGATATCATTATTAACAATGCCGTATTTGGCATGACTACTACTACAACTACTGTAACTACTACTACAACTGTTATCAACATTCGGTATAATGTTGATACTGCTATTAGTGTTTCTGTTAATATTCTTGTTATTGTTATTGGTGTTCTTGCAAATGTTATTGTTGTTGATGCTGAAGTTTATCTTGATGCTACTTTTGTTTTTAGTCATTTTTTAGTAAATAATTTCTACCTCTACTGTTACTATCATCATTATTGTTACTTTTTACATACTATTTTACACGCTGCCACACACTTTGTCACACACAATGGTAGTGTTAATATATTTTTATTCATGTATGTATTAGCATATGTTAGATAACAGATGAAAAAAGAGAGAGAGAGAAAGAGAGAGAGAGAGAGAAAGAGAAAGAGAGACAGACAGAGGGACAGACAGACAGACACGGACAGACAAGCAAACAGACGGAAACAACATGAACTACAGGCTCTTTCTAGCTTTCTAAGAACACGGCTCTCACTCTAAAAGAAATAATCAAAGATACAATGTACACTACCTGATGCATCTTACCCTTGAAATGAAGATAGATAATGATTCATAAACATGATGATTAAGATATGTACAGTTATGATGTTTTAATACAGTTGACAATGTCAGATGATATACAGATAATATGTATCAACACAACTGTAAATATGGACATCTGTTTACTTTATATTACACTGTAAGGATCATATGATTGTATACTCCTAATGTGCTGTAGGGCGGGATAGTGATCAGTGTTACGTCTGGTAAAGAGGGCGCAGTGTATTTATTCTTATGAAGAGGAGAGAGGGAGGGAGGAGGAGATAGGGAGGGAGAGGAGAGGGAGAGGGAGAGGGAGAGGGAGAGGGAAGGAGGGAAGAAAGAGAGAGAGAGAGAGAGAGAGAGGAAGGAAGGAAGGGAGGGAGGAGGAAGAGACAGACAGACAGAGTGACTGACAGATAGACAGACAAATAGACAGACAGACAGAGAGAAGCAGGGCATGTGAGAGGGAGGGAGAGAGGGAAAGAGAGAGAGAGAGAGAGAGAGAGAGAGAGAGAGTGACTGAGGGCGAAGAGTAGAAGAAGAAAGACGAAGAGGAGAGATAAGAGAAGCCAATGCCGCAGACAGACCAACGATCACTTCCCTGGTTCGAGTCCCTACCTGCCAGACTCACCTCCACGCTGCGAGACGACTTGGCGCCGGTTGTTCAGCTCGCCGGAGTTCGATCCCGCGCTCGCTGCCTGCGGCGGGTTCTCCCTCCTCCTCCTCTTCCTCCTCTCTTCTCGCTCGGCGCTCCTCGTCCTCTCCGCTTCCTCCGGACGACCTTCTCCTCGTTCTCTTCTTCCTCCTCCTCCTCCTCCTCTTCCTCTCCTGATTTCTACTCCCTTTCTAGTCGTTTTCCTTCTCGTCCTCGACTCCGACCACCCTGACGGCCCTCTGAGTGAGCACCCCCGCCACCACGCCGAGGACGACCCCCAGGAGAGTCACCACCACGACCACGGCGAGCAAGGACGACCCCAGCTGGGAAAAGACGCCCTTGTCCTTCCCCAAGGAGGTCGTGTCGTGGCCGTTCATGCTGGAGGTCGTCGTGGTCCCGGAGGCGTTTGGGGCGGAGGTGGAGGGCGGAGGACTGACCCTGGCGCTCGAGCCGTGGGTGTTGGCGGACCAGAGGGTGAGCGTGTACGACGTGGAGGGCCGGAGGTTCCCCGCGGTGACGACGGACGAGGCGCTGCTCGAGTTGCTGACCGTAACGCCGCTCTCGAACGCCTGCGGGAGGAGGGCGTGTGGGTGAGGCAGCGAGTTCTGCGCATTTTGGCGTGTGTGGCTTTTGGCATTTTCTCGCTTTCCTAAGCGCATGTCGGTGTGCCATCATGTGATAGCCACAGCTGTGGTTTCTTGTTAGTAATTGTCCAAAACGTGTAAGCACCTACGTTATTCAAGTGTATGTGTGAAGGTTGTGTGTTTAAGTATACATGACACAGAATGCGCTTGCATGCTAAAGCGCAGTCAGACCCACGTGCGCGTGACGTCACCCACCGTCATGAAGAAGGTCTGCGGGAGGCCGCCGTCGTGCGCGGGCGTGCAGGAGACCGTGAGGGCGTTCGGCGTCCGCTTGGTCACCCCGCAGGCCTCGGGCGGGTCGGGCTTGTCGGCACGAACGAGCTTCGTGACGCACGGGCGCTCCTGCTGGCCCAGGGCGGAGCTCGCCCAGCACAGGAGCTCCCCGAAGTCGACCGTGGCGCGGGGCGTGTAGCTCATCCAGGACGCCGTGCCCTCCGACCGCACCATGGACGCCGGCACGGGGAGCACGCCCCGCGAGGACCGCAGCGCCCCGTGAAGCGGTGGGCGGCGGGAAACGCGGTCACCTCGCACGTGATGTTGACGGCGTGTGGTGGGGACGCCCACCACCTGCGCGGTTGGAGCGGCGGCACTGCGGCCCGTCTGGGGGCGCAGAGAAGGCGTTGAGGAAAGCATTTGTCTAAGCGCTTAAGGATCTTCTCCCTCCCCCTCTCCCTCCTCCCTTCTCTCTTCTCTATCTTCTCTCTCTCTCTCTCTTCCTCTCGATCTTCTCTCCTCATCTCTCCTCTTCCAGTCTCTTCTCTCTCTCTCTCTCTCTCTCCTTCCTTTCTCTCCTTCCTCTCCTTCTCTCTCTCTCCTTCCTTCTTCATCCTTCTCTCCTTCCCTCCTCCTTCTCTCCTCCCTCCCTCCTCTCTTCACTCCCTCCTACCTCCCAACCTCGCTCCTGCTCTCCTTCCTCCTTCCTCTCTCCTTCCCTCCTTCCTTCCTCCCTCCTTCCTCCTCTTCCCTGCCCTCCTCGTTCTTCCCTCCTTCTCCTCCCTTCACTCCCTCCCACTTACAGGTACGAACGAAGAGCTGGATCGCATCGCAATCCGTACACTCTCGCAACCTGCCTTCTCTCCTTCCTTCACCTCCCTCATTCACTTCCTCTTCCTCCCTCCTTCACTCCCTCCAATCATTTCCCTCCCTCCTTCCCTCCCTCCTCCTCCCTCCTGCCCTCCTCCTCCCTCCACTACACTTACGTCGAACGAAGCAGGTGATCGCATCGCACCCTTACCTCGCCTCCTCCTCCTTCTCTCCTCCTTCACCTCTCTCCTTCCCTCCCTCACCCTCCTCCTCCTCCTCCCTACCTCCTCCTCCCCAACTTACGTCGAACGAAGAGCTGGATCGCAAATCCGCATTGTACCCCTCCACCTCCTTCTTCTCCTCCTCCCGCTCCTCCGTTCCTCCTCCTCCTCCTTCCCTCCCTCATTCCTCCCTCCCTCCCTTCCCTCCCTCCTCCCTCCTCTTCCTCCCTCCCCTCATTCCTCCCTCCTTCCTCCCCTCCTTCTCTCCTCCTCCCTCCCCCCCCCACAGCTACGTCGGAACGAAGAGCTGGTCGCATCGCAATCCCTTACCCCGCTCCTCCTCCTTCTCTCCCTCCTTCCCTTTCTACTTCCCTCCCTTCCCCCTCCCTCCTCCTCGCCCTTCCACACTTAACGTCGAACGAAGAGCTGGATCGCATCGCATCCTTACCCGCTCCTCCTCCTTCTCTCCCTTCCTCCCTCCACTCAGTCCCTCCTCTACCCTCCTCCCTCCTCCTTCCCTCCTCTCCTCCCCTCCACTCCCACATTACGTCGACGAAGAGCTGGATCGCATCGCATCCTTACCCGCTCCTCCTCCTTCTCCTCTTCCTCTCTCCTCCCTCCTCCCTCCTCCCTCCCTCCCTCCTCATTCTCCCTCATTCCCTCCCTCCTTCCCCTCCCTCCTCCCTCCTTCCTCCTTTCCTCCTCCCTCCCCTCCCCACTTACGTCGAACGAAGAGCTGGATGGCAATTGCTCCTGGCAGTTCCCTCGGTGTTGTGGGCCGTGCAGGTGTACGACCCCGCGTCCTCCGTCGATACCCTGGGGACGACCACGCTCATGTTACGACGACGACCCCAGGACGCGAGCCGGGGGTCAGCGGAGGCCCTGGGGGTGGGGAGGGAGGGCGGGGGTGAGATGTGGGGAGGGAGGTGGGGTGAGATGAGGTGTGGGGACGGAGGTGGGGGTATTGGATGAGGGAGGGAGGGGGAAAATTAGGAGATGGGGGGATATGAGGGGAGGGAAAGGGAATGTGGGGAGGAATGATGGTGTGAGAGGGAGGGAGGGAGGGAGAGAGAGAGAGAGAGGGGGGGGGGAGAGAGAGAGAAAGAGAAAGGACGAGGAGCCAGAAAACAAAGTGAGATGAAAAAAATGTGTATGGAAGGGAGAGAAAAAAAAAATGAGAAAGAAGAATGTAAGGAAGAATAAAAATGAGAAACTGAGAATGGAGGAATAGATGAGTGTGGAGAAATGTAAGATAGAGAAAGGGGAATATACAAGTAGGGAATAATGTAAGAGACAGAAGAATGGTTAGAAGAAAACAGAAGAAAAGTAAGAAATTATAAGAGACCAAATGAAGGTGTGGAGAAATACCATTCAAAGATGAAAGTGAAAATGAATGAAATAGGACAAAGAAAGGCGAGAATAAAAAGAGGAATGCGAAACAGGAAAATTCAGAAAGGTGAGAATACATGAACAATAACTGAGAAGATCCAAATACAATAGAAAAAATCTAGACTAAGAAGAAGAATCCGTGATAAAAGAGGAAAAAAGACGAGACGAGATAAAAGTGGAAACAGAGTATATAAAAAATATTTCGATACTAAAATGGAAACCTGCTTCAGCGATTGCATGAATATCAGGTCGTTGATATTCATTGCCAAAAGAAATACAAATAACAATCATATATTGCCTGATAATGACGATGATGAGGGGGAAAGGAAGAGGAAGAATAGGTGGAAGAGGAGGAGGAAGGAAAGAAGAAGGAGGAGGAGAAGGAGAGGGAAAAAGAGAGAGAGAGGAAGAGAAGGGGAACGAGAAGGAGACGGACAAGGACAAAGAGGAAGAGGAGAAAAAGAGAGGAAGAGGAGGAAAAAAAGAAGAGGTAGGAGAGGAAAAGGAAGAGAAGGAGGGGAAAAGAAAAGGAGGAGGAGGAGAAGGAAAAAGAGGAAGAGGAAGAAGAAGAAGGGAAAAGAAAAAGAGGAGAAGGAAAAAGAAGGGGGAAAAGAAAAAGGATGAGAGATGGTTGAAGAGGAGAGGAGAGAGGAGGAAAAGAAAAAGGAGCAGAGAAAAGAGGAAGAGAAGGAGGAAAAAGAGAAAGCGCAAGAGCGGAGAGATAGAAAAAGAGGAAGATGAAGAAGAAGAAAAATGATGTGAGAAGAAAAGAAAGTGGGCAGGGAAGAAGTAAAACTAGCGAATTGAAACGCCATGTCCACCAGAGGGGTCGCGGCCACGAGCCAACGAACGGTCCGCAGCCCAGGCCTCATGATACAAGGTGTGCGCCGGAGATACCCATATTGCGGGTGTTGGGCCTCTCACAGTGCACTAGGCAACGTAGAGTACCACAATCTATCTTTGCCCGTGCCCTTAGAGAAGTAACGCTCGTCGGAGTGCGGAGTGAGGTATCACTTAAGTCGATGCGATAGTGTCAGTTAATGATTTTGTGTGTCGGTGCATGCTGGTGGTGTGGCATGGTGATAATCTTTTCGTTGTTCGCGGAAGAGATACTTAACCCGGGCAGGTTGCTGCGGCAGGCTGATACCCGGCCGATACCTGTCTGAGACGAAAGGCCCGCTTCTCCACCCGTCGCTCCCCTGGCGAGAAGGGTCCGTGGGACTGCGCCGTGGGGGCGCGGCTTTGCCAGGTCGTGTGGTCCTCGGAGGGTGGTCTCGGCACAAAGTGCTAGGTCCAGTACTTGTCCTGGCGTCTGCGACGGGGGCTAGGTTTGCAGGCGACACGTGTTAGCGGTACGATCGGGACACCGAGGGGCTGGTCCTCTCTTGAGGTCGTTAGTTGGCAGACTTCTTTGCTTGGGCGTGCCTTGTGGTACTGTGAGCAGGCTCTCCACTCCCTTTAGATCTGTGCCGTCAGGGAGACCCCATCGTGTGAGGTATCTTGTCTATTCGTATCGCATTCGTCGCGGGCGAATCAGGGGTATTGGGAGCCGATGCGCACTGCTGCCATAAGAGTGTGCCTGCCGTGTTCGTCTCGTAAGATCTCTATGAGTGACATTGGCTCTTGAGCCACGCCTCTGCGGCCTGGTGCGACCTGTTCGGTGTGTGCAGGGATCAATTCGTGACTGTCTCACAGGTCCTAGCGATAATTAGTTTGTCTTGAGTCCAGGGCACGTTTCTCAGACAAGGTCTGTCCCCGCTGGCCTCCTTCGCTCGTGAACGGAGCGGAGGGAGGAGGGGGATGTTTGGGGATATTGATATTGCTTTCTGTTTCACTCTTCTCTATCTTCTTCTCTTGTGTCCTTCTTTCTCTTCTTGTCTTCTCGATGGCTTCCGGAAGGGCGTGAAGGGGAGTTCGAATAAAGGATGATTGGAGGGGTGGGGTAGGCAGGGGGGGACATCTGGCGGGTGGCAGGGGGTGGCGCGGGGGGGGGGGGGGCGGTGGGTCTCAGGTGCGGGGGGCGGAATGTGGGGTGGCCGATTGGGGGTGGAGAGGTATGGGGGGTGAGGCGGGGGGGGGTCGGGTGGCGGTACGGGGGGGGGGAGTACTGGTCGGGGGGCGTGCACGTTGTGGAAGGCGGGGGGGAAGGGACGGACTTTTTGGGCGGTCGTGCTGGTTTCGTACCTCGAAGCCTCGAGGAGGAGGGCGGGGTAGGGAGGAGCTGTTGATGGTGATCGTCTGGAGCTCGAGTTGCACTTCAGGTTTGTCTGTTGGGGGGAGGGGGAGGGGAGGGCTGATGATGTTTCTTTCTTATTATGATTTCTTTCTCTGCCTGTCTGTCTGTTTGTCTGCATGTTTGTCTCTCTCTCTCTCTCTCTCTCTCTCTCTCTTCTCTCTCTCTCTCTCTCTCTTCTCTCTCTCTCTCTCATCCCTCTCTCTCTCCTCTCTCTCTCTCTCTCTCTCTCACACACACCACACACACACACACACACATTGTCCTTCCCTCCCACCTTGCTTTCTCACTCTCACCCCTCTCTCGTCGCTCTCTCTTTCTCTATATATCTATCTGTGTGTATTAATATATACATTACATATACATATACCTACACACACACACACACACACAGATATATACATATATATATATATATATATATATATATATATATATATATATATATATATATATATAATTATATATTTATATATTTTACATAATCTACATTCATTCCACGTCCTTCCTTTATCACTACTTACACATAATCCGCAGAGGCACGGAATCTACCATGGACCAGGACGACGGGAGGGCGTGGGTAGAGAGAACGCCCCCGTGGTCGGGCGGGCGGGCGGTGCATGTGATGTGGGCGCCCACGTGGGAGGGCGAGGGCGTGTATCTTAGGCGGCTGACAGTCACGCCCTCGGAATCTGTCTGCAAAGAGGATTTTTATGGAGGTGATTACAGTAGTAGGGGCTTTGGTAATTGCAGAAGAGTGAGTTTAGCGTTTATAGTAGCTATAGTGCTTGTAATAGTGGCAGTAGTGGTTGCAGTAGAGCGACTGAACACTGTTTGGTATGAATTTAGAATAAGATATGAATATAATATCATCAGGTACATCCCAGAGCGGCAATTTCAAAAACACTTAATTTCAGATATCAATAAAACGCATTCGCTTTAGGCGCGTCTGTGATATGTCTGTCCTTCTGTGCCTGTGCGTGTTATGGCTGTCATTGTGCCTGTGCGTGTATGCTGTCATTGTGCTGTGCGTGTATGCTGTCATTGTGCCTTGTTCGTGTATTGCTGTCATGTGCCTGTGCGTGTATGCTGTCATGTGCCATGTGCGTGTATGCTGTCATTGTGCCTGTGCCGTGTATGCTGTCAAGTGCCTGTGCGTGTATGCTTGTCATGTGCCTGTGCGTGTATGCTGTCATGTGCCTGTTGCGTTGTTATGCTTGGCCATGTGCCTGTGCGTGTATTGCTGTCATTGTGCCTGTGCGTGTATTCTGTCATGTGCCTGTGCGTGTATGCTGTCATGTGCCTGTGCGTGTATGCTGTCATGTGCCTGTGCGTGTATGCTGTATGTGCCTGTGTCCACTGTATGCGTGTCATGTGCCTGTGCGTGTATGCTGTCATTGTGCTTGTGGTGTATGCTGTCATGTGGCCTGCTGCGTGTATGCTGTCATGTGCCTGTGCGTCGTATGCTGTCATGTGCCTGTGCGTGTATGCTGTCATGTGCCTGCTGCGTGTAGTGCTGATCATGTGCCGTGCGTGTATGCTGTCATGTGCTGTGCGCTGTATGCTGTTCATGTGCTGTGCGTGTATGCTGTCATGTGCCTGTGCGTGTATGCTGTCATGTGCCTGTGCGTGTATGCTGTCATGTGGCCTGTGCGTGTATGCTGTCATTGTGCCTGTGCGTGGTATGCTGTCATGTGCCCGTGCGTGTATGCTGTCATGTGCCCTGTGGCGATGTATGCTGTTCAGTGTGCCTGTGCGTGTATGCTGTCATGTGCCTTGCGTGTATGCTGTCATGTGCCTGTGCGTGTTATGCTGTCATGTGCCTGTTGCGTTGTATGCTGTCATGCTTGCCTTCCCGTGCGTGTATGCTGCATGTGCCTGTGCGTGTAGCTTCATTGCCTGTGCGTGTTATGCTTGTCATGTGCCTGTTCGTGTATGCTTGTCATGTGCCTGTGCGTGTATGCTGTCATGTGCCTGTGACCGTGGATGCTGTCATGCTGCCTGTGCGTGTATGCTTTCATGTGCCTTGTGCGTGTATGCTGCATGTGCTGTGCGTGTATGCTGTCATTGTGTCTCGTGCGTGTATGCATTTGCCATGTGCCTGTGCGTTGTCTCTCTCTCTTTGCCTGTGCTGTTGTTGCTGTTCAATGGGCCTGTGCGATGCTATCTCTCTTCTCCATGTACCTTGCCTTGGTGCGTGCTATGCTGTTCAGTGTGGCCTGTGGGTGGTATGCACTTCATGTGACCTAGTGCGTGTATGCTGTTCATGGTGCCTGTGCGTGTATGCTGTTTCATGTTCTCCGTCCTCCTTTGCCTTTCCTGCATATTCTCTCTTGTTCATGTGACTCGCTCGCTCCTGTTCTATGCCCCTTTCGCTTATCTCTCTTTTCTTCCCTCCTCTCTCCCTCTTTCTTCGTGACGTGACCTCTCCTCTCTCTCCCTCTCCTTGTCGTTTCCCACTCTTGTCCTTCCTTCCTCTCCCTTCCCCTTTCCCCTATCCGCTACTTCTCCTTGCCTTGTCGCCGCTGCCCCTCTATCTCTTCGTCTATGCTTGTGCTTGTGTGTGTCCCCTATGCTGCTCCTGTCTGCTCTCCTGCTCGCTTGCCCTATTCTTCTATAACTCTCGTTGCACGTGTTACTCGTGCTCGTACACTGATGCCTTTGCGTGGTCTATTCCCTGTCTCATGCTCTGCCCTTGCGCCTTGTATCTGTCTTATGTGCCATCGTTGCGTGCTATTCGCTCTCTTGTGTCCTGTTTGGCCGCTCGTCCTTATATGCTTGGCAGTGTAGCTCCTGTGCCGTCTTCCATTCCTTGCTCAATTATAGTCTCGGTCATGTGTGCACTGCTACTCACTCCACCGAATTCCCCTTGGACTTATGCTTCGCCGCCCTGCGCCCTATTCGTTCGCGATCGGACTCTAGGTATGAATGTGCACCGGGCCTGCCAGGCCATTCTGCTTTCCTCTGTACTGCGTGCTTTGGCCTCGACCGCGTCCTACCCCTCTTCACGTGTCCTCCCGGTCCGACATGAGTTTTGCGTCCTCGCCCGCCCCCGAGAATCGGCACCCGTTACGTGGAGCGGCGCGCTGGCTAATGGGTCACGCGGTTCCCATCAACCTCTGATATCCTTGATAACAGTTATGGACTACATAGATGGTGACGTTTCGTTGTTGCATTCTTTCTAATCTGAAGAGGAAATGTGGCGGGTGGGGGGGGGTAAGGTGGAAGGCGTTGGTGGAGAAGAGAGGGGTGATGGTAACAAGAAAAAAAATAAAAATTTCCAAGGAGCAGTAGCCAAAACGGGAAACGAACGACACGCACACATGACCTGGATCATGACGGGCCTCCTCAGGGGCGGGACGAGGTGCGTGTTGGACACCTGGCACACGATGGGCACCTGGGCATCCTCCGGCCTCACTCTCACTGCCACGCCGTTGGTGATGAGGCCGTCCTCTCCTTCGCTGACGTCGCCAAGGAGCTTCTGTCCGCCGCGCCACCAGGTCACGGTCGGCGGGGGGCGCCCTGGCCAACAGAGGGGTCGTTAGGTGCTCGTCAACGAAAATGATAACAGAGAAAATGGATGTTGGTTCAGTCTAAGGCAGACTTAAGGAACTTTTAGATAGGCGGATTTGAAAATCTTTTGAGATACTGATATTCGCAGAATGTTGATCGTTACCGAGATTATACAAACTGCCAACGAGGCACATGGTCTTAGACGAAGAAGCTTAACCACGTCCAAAGTACATGAGTCCAACGAATCGACCAGTATTTGGAAGGCTGAACCTTCCAATATGTATTCTAAAAACTGAAGACTGCACACAGGCTCTTTCTATCGGCAAATATCTTCATTTTTATGCAAATAAGGGGGATAAATTGCCCACTTTTTCTACATGAATCAAGTGCACCCTTGGAACCCACGAACCTCCTGACGCAGAGCAGCGGAGGGACAGCTCAGTGTCGACTTCCACGACGACTGCCGGAGAGTCAGCGGTTGTCTGCAGCTTCCGGCCGGCCACCCACACCTCGACCACGGGAGCGGTGGGCGGTGCTGTGAGAGCAGGACAAAGTGTATGTGTATATGTGTATATATATACATATATGAATATGTATATATATAATATATAATATATATATATATATATATATATATATATATATATATAATATATGTGTGTGTGTGTATATGTGTGTGTGTGTGTGTGTGTGTGTGTGTGTGTGTGTGTGTGTGTGTGTGTGTGTGTGTGTGTGAGTGTTAACTGCTACATGATTTTTTTTTTTTTTTAGGATTCCATTGTTATTTATAAGAACTGGCCAGTTTGATAGTAAAATCTAAATTATTGCAAACTTTTGGAAACGCAATTTCAAAATCGCGAACGCGTAGTATTTCGAAATCTTTGCACAGGCACACAGTAAGTTTCGAAAGACGACTCAGAAGACCATATCCATCTACAAACAGACAATGAAGAAGACCAGCCTCCTTCCCAAACTCCATCTGGAATTTCAATACCAGTAAAACAGAGACGAAATGATAGGATAATGAACGAATCTGAAACTAGATGCAAATAGACTATCTCCCAAGATGCAAAATCATGAACAACTGGCACAACAACAATAATATCACTTAATACATGAACGGTTTTACAGTAAAGAAAGCTATCTTTCATTCAGGTCGGGACTAAAGCTGTGACGTTTCAACAGCTGTTTCCTTGCTGTGTCAGTGTCCTGGACGGCATCTGCACATCCGTTCTTGGGATTAAGACAATTTCAGTAAACAAGTTGAAAGCATCTTGGCGTGACATATAACATGAGCGTTTTTTTTTTTTTTTTGCGCTGTTTGTTTTTGTCCGGTGTGTGTGTGTGTGTCGTTTCTGGGTTACATGTTTGTTCACTGTGTATACTATGCATTAATGTATACTGCAGACATGATCACAGGAATACGTACACTAACACACACGCCCACGCACAACACACAACACACATGACTCACAAATTCACACACACACGCCCACAAACCTACCGACAAAATACACATACGCCCACAAACCCACCCACCCACGGTCCACAAAACCCACACAGACGCAGACGAGCGGAGAACACGCCAGCACCCACCTATGACCTTGGCGGGTGGTGTGGTGTTGACGGACCTCCCTCGGCGGAAGTCCACGCGGCACCTGTAGAGGCCGGCGTCTGTCTCGTGGACGTGGGCGATGGTGAGGAAGGCGAGCTGCGGGCGTGCTAAGGGCGTGGCCGGGAGAGTGAGGTTGAGGGCGCCGCCGAGGGCACGTCGGGGGGCCCAGTGGCGCTCGTTCCCGGGGGTGCGTCCGTCGTAGCTGCGAAGGAGGAGAGGGAGTGAAGTGCGTCCATGGTCGTCTCTGTCCTGGGATTGGCCCAGCTGACCTGACTTCGGCGAGAGGTTGTCTAGGGATCCCAGGCTAGAGAAGACCTAGTGTGACCTTGGCTTAAGGGAAGGGAGGAAGGAGATTAATAGAGCGGAGACAGCAAAAAAAAAGTAATTAGTGATTTATAAATGTACTCTCTAATCTTTCCCTCCTGCTATCCATCTATCTATCTCACCTAACCATATATTCGTTTGCCTAATTAGTTTCCTCAATACCGAACCGCTGATTTTCCTCCAATAAGCATTCCTCTTTAAAGATGATGCCTTTTAACCATTTCGGATGCAACGGAAACGGCAGAGACAGGCCCAGAGTCCACACACCTCCATGTCATAGGATGATACTCATAAAAGGACCAAAATTATGTTTTATATTTTTATAAACACCTATTCGACCAATATTGTTGTTAAAAATGTAATGTTTTTTCTCAACAAAACTTTATATACCGTATATTTACAAGCAAACGAGATGAAGCTGGATCAGTGAAAAAAACAATAACAAGAAAACTGTCAAAGAATAAATTTAACATAATTTATTTAATCGCATTGGTGTGGTCACATGAGCTTTGTCATGGCCTAATCAAAGTTAATATCGTGTAACTGAACGGAGGGCACTTTGTATGAGCAGATGATGAGATTGTAGGAGCAAGGATCGTTATAGACCGTCTTTAGAGCGCTATGCAGAGAGTGTACACAGACCAGGGATTGCTGTTTTTCATTCGCTGATCGCCTGACACAGTTTATACCCAGGAGCGGTAAT